AGAGGGAGTGGCCTCAAAATTACCTCAGTCTCCGGGCAAATGGGCCATGATAATACCCACATGTGACTCCTCCCAAGCCTCACTTCTGAGACTACTAGATTGAGACGAAATGAACAGGTTAACAATGGAAATTAAAGACAAAGAAGAAACAGACATTTAATATTTAATATGGGATATATGGTATAATTGGTTGGATAATAGATTAAAAAATTAAACATGAAAGACAATTAACAAGCCAGAAATAAATATAGGTATAAGGCTAGGTAGGAACGTGGTGGCTCAGTGGCTAAGACGCTGAGCTTGTCGATCAGAAAAGTGGGCAGTTCGGTGAGCTCCAGTTACTTGTCCCAGCTTCTGCCAACCTAGCAGTTTGAAAGCATGTAAACATGCAAGTAGAAAAATAGGGACAATCTTGGTGGGAAAGGAACAGTGTTCCGGGTGCCTTTGGTGTTGAGTCATGCTGGTCACATGACCACAGTGATAAATATGATACTGTATGAATATGAATATATGAATAAGAGATAAATGGTCGGGACTAGGAGATATAATACTATGTATATTGTAAAAATAGCTGATACAATCAGTATATCATTGTTGCAAAGATGAAACTGATGCAAAATGAAGAAAAATGTACAATAAAAACATTTTTAAAATGTTATGATTTAAATCTTGAGGGTCTATGGCCACAAAAGCTATTTATGATGAGGAAAAAAATGAGAACCACTGGAATAAGGGATGGGGCATTTCAGATGGAAGTCAACTGGCTATTCCAACCTGGGAGAAAAGAGCCCTTTGGGAACTAGCAAGAAATCTACAAAAATCTGACTTTCCCCAAGTTGAAGATGGCATTTTTCAAAGCCAGGCATAATCTCTGACCATCAGCACTGCTGCAAGATACTCCAAAAACCCATTAACTGAGCATACCGGCCAATGTGGCCACAAAGAGCTCAAAATCCTGCAGCCCTCTGCCATAGAAAACGGAGCTTGGGATGGCTGCACACTCTGTTTTCGCTGGCAGAGGGCTATCATAACAAACTAAAATCCAAGCAAAAGGGGTGGTGGTGGTGGCCTGAATCCCAGCAACAGGACGTGTTCTGTGGAAGGCTCTCTGAAGAACCATCAGATTCCTGCTGTATCGGGGGAGGGCTTTTTTAACCCCACCATAGCTGTCCTGGAGAGACAGTGAAGAGGGGGGGCACAAATGGGTGTGGTTGGGGAACCTGCAACTCCTCTAAAATGCCTGCATTTGCCCCCGGACCCAAAGCAGGAAAGGTAGCCAACGCGAGCTACTGCAGCTGGAAGGCCAGACCAAGCACGGGAGATCAGGGTGGTGAGCATCTGGATGAGATAATAAGACTGCTTGAAAGTGCAACATTCCTGTAAATTAACTTTTCAACCTCTGGTTAAAGCTTTTTAAAGAGAGAGTGGCAAAAGAAAAGGGGGGAGCGGATATTACAAAGCTGTCCCTCCCTCGGGCCAGCAGCGAATGGACGGAGCCGTTAGATAGAAGAAAGGAAGTGATAGTGTCAACTTGTAAAGTGTTTCCATGACTACTATCGTTGACACAGGAAAAGGGAGGAGAATTCCATGCATACCTTTGGCCAGTCAGGTCTCGTATTCCTACAGCTGACGTGTGAAATGTGCATGTTCATAGCCTGCCGCAGCACCTTATTGATGGATGTGATTTATGACACAGAAGATAGGAGGGGATACAGGGGTAAAGTTCAAACACAATTAAGCGAAAGTCAGTTTCGGCTCCGCAGAAGAACATGCCAAAATGTTGACCATAATAAATGAATGGATTTCTTTTGAACTTTGTCTCGAGGCTCATAAATTAATTAGGTCATCTTTTGGAAACTTTACAGATAGACCTTGAGAACTACTTAAGGATGTTAGAAAGCAAATTGGAACCCCGAGGTCAAACACAACCCTGATGCAGACTTCAATTAAATCAGGTTTGACACCCCTGCTCTAAGAGACATCACGTCTGCATATAGTCTGCCCTTAGTAAGCAAATTTATGCTTTAAGTCACCCAGAGTCACTTTGAAACAAGTGGTAAATAAACTTAATAAATAAAAATAAAATAAAAATTTCCAGGAAGACCAGACAATTTCTGTATGAACCATGTTCTACAAAATTTGAAACCCGTTATCACCTATGCATTAGCCAAATTCTGTGTTGCTGCAATGAAAATAAGGCATAACTGGTTATGGAAATATATATTTTTTGTTTTATTTACCATTTTAGATTTAACACATTCTGGCTTATCTTGTTTATGAGATGGTATTTATTTTACTGGATAGTGTGCTAGTAGAGCAGCCACATTTTTATTTGTGTTTCTTTCACCTTTTCTATTTTACTATGGTGTGGTAATTTTTTAAAAACTTTTTTTCTGGTCCTTGACCAAATAAACATTATTATAAAACAGAGTCTCCAGTTGATGTGGGTGGTGAAACTGGGAAGGGCTGGAACAGGGCGATTCTCAGTTCCTGCTCTCTCTTGGAAGGCAGCCCACTGCAGAAGCTACAGGAAGAAGAGTTTGTCACACAGCTCAATTGATGGTTCGTGGTGGAGAACGTGCCCTGAGAGAAAAGCCAGCTTATGCGCGTATTTGCACGGGGCGGGCACTCGGATAGTTCCTGGCCAATTCCAGTAGAGGTGGCAAAGTTTGAAAGTCAGCCTATTAAAAAACAGGAATGAGAGAAGGAAACTCCGGATTAGAATGCCTACTTCTATCACTTGGATCCATAATGTATTTTCTCGTTTGGGTTGACAAATCTCTAAACTCCAATATATTCCAATCAGTATATGTTCTTAAATGCTGCAAGGAAAAAACTGGTTGATTCCCCATCATTTCTTGGATTCATTTTACCCTTTGCAAAGGAAATCCCTCACTCCATCCAGAAAGGGGTTCCACCACAAAATCGCGGAGGACAAAATCGCGCTCGACGAAAGCGCGCATGTGACATCATCACAGCGCGACGAAAAAAATTAAAAATGGAAATAAAATTAAAATTAAAG